GGCGAAAATATAGTCCTTGGAGGAGAGCAACGTACTCTCAGAGTTCCAACACGGCTACACACAGAACCACTCTTGCCTTTCCAGATTATTGCACTTGACCGATCAGTGGACTCGCGCAGTGGACGAGGATGGTAGGGTTGACGTCGTTTCCACTGATTTCAAGAAGGCGTTTGACAGCGTCTCCAAAAAAGTCTAAGATATAAATTATCTGGAACTGGAATAGGAGGAAACCTGCGGACATGGATCGCAGACTTATGCGCTATAAAAGGGGCGTGCGAAGTTCAGTTGCTCTCCAGGCTTCAACGGCTTCTAAGTTATGCGACATCTGGCTAAAAGAAGTCGACAAACTACTGTTTAAAGAGTGAAGTCCCTCGCTAGTGCTGCAAAACTCTGAGCATACAAGTCAATAGCTACTGCCCACCAGACGCTTAAGCCACACCTATAAAATCATCATTAGCACGCCTAGGTAAACTAAGTGCAGGGTATCTAGATGAAAACAACTAACTAGGCCGAAGTTGCAAGACAAAAATCGAGACCTACAGACTTTATGGTCTTTAGGCACACAGAACACCAAGTACTGTGCCAAGCTTCATGCTGAGATACCAAGTCACCAGCCCGCTATCGTAAATGTTTCGACCGACAGCAAGCAACCATCCGCCAACACATTCCTCTGGTGCAGAATACCGAATCCATAACACTCAAGAGAAACTGAGAACACCCTGTTCATATGTCAACCCTTCCCCGTCCTGAAATTCACTCACACAACGACTTGCAGATTTTTTCTCCTCAAACACAGGAACCCGATTTCTGTTATGAAAAATTATGAATGTCCCAAGATCTCCGACTGTAAAAAGAAAGCCGAACATTTTTCTGAGTTCTCTCGGTCGGTTTTCTCCACAGAGATTGCCTTTGTCACAACTGGTGACGAGATCTTGGGGGCGCCAGATATTGAGGACATTCTGTTTGGAGAAGAAACGATTTTTCAAGAACTAAAAAGCTCGAAGGAATGTAAATCTTCCGGTCCAAGTGAGATTCCTGCGAAATTGCTCCATGAACTTGTCAGAGAGCTGGCTAAACTGTGATGTGCCAGCAATCGTTCGATACTGAAATTCTTCCCCCAGATTGGAAAACAGCGCACATTAAATCGATAATACGACAGCGGTCGCCGTGCACTTGCGTACACCCACAGACCCGTTAGTCTGACCTCCATATGCTGCAAGGTAATGGGAAAGATAATTAAAAAGGAATTGATGATATATCTTGAAACTCACAGTCTCTTGTCCAATGCGCAATGCGGCTTTCCTAGGGGTAGGTCGTGTTACAAACTTGCTTTACACTATGCAAAGCTGGACATGGGCAACTAATGCAAAAGACACCGTACATGCGACTTACATTGATTTCCGGAAGGTCTTCGACAGTGTTGCACACCAACGTCTCCTGTACAAGTTGAGAAGGATGGGTATCGGAGGCATACATCTTACGTGGATTGAGAATTTCCTCGCTGGTCGTTCCCTAACTGTGTGTAGGACGACAGCAATGAAGGCCAACGGTCATCGAGAGCGGAGTCCCTCAAGGTTCAGTACTCAGACCCACCCTCTTTCTCTCGTTCGTTAATGATTATGTACAGGAATTGTACTGCGAGTGTGCCATGTTAGCAGATGATGTAAAAATATGGAAGGTCATCAAGAGTGCTGCCGATGAAGATAACTTCCAGTAAACTCTTTGTCTATCAAACGATTGGCCGCACAGATGGCTCCTGTCCTTCAATTCGAACGAATGCACACTGCTGTGTCTAGGAAATCGAAATCCGGTCACTGATGTGCGAGCTTACTATTTGAATGGAATCCCACTCCAAGTAGCAGAAATACAGAAAGATCTCGGCATCTGGATGACAAAAAACCATAAAACCTTCTACACAATGTTGTAAGACGGCCAAAGTTGCAACTTCAATATTGTATGCCATCAAGCGGGCATGCACAGTTCTTGATGAACACTCTTTCTCGAAGATCTTCGGTACCTACATACGGCCACATCTTAAATAAGCAATTCAAGCCTGGAGACTGTGAATGCGGCGGATTATAACGTGCTTGAAAGGGTACAGCGGTGGACCACACAATTAGTAAAAGGCCAAGGTGCACTGCCATATGAGATCCGCCTAAATAATCTTAATCTCCACCCTCTGAGTTATAGGCAGTTACGCGGAGATTTTATACAAATCTTACTTGTCGTGCGTGGCTTGAACATTTCCACTATAACTAATCTCCGGGAGCATCCCTTCAAATTGTATGTGCCGCAAGGACGATTAGATGTGTGGAAGTATTTGTTTCTCTAACCGGGTCGTGGACCCGTGGAATAACA